TGTTTTCTGGGTCAGCTGGGGACGTATCCTCCTGATGTTGTAAAGCGTGTATCTGCAGCAGCGGGTTGTAGCAGCAATGTTTGCAGTGAAGGACAGTTTGTTATCTAGGATCACATCCAGATTCCTTGCAGTCTGAGTCGGGAAAACAACAGAGGTGCCAATGTTGATTGTTAGGTCAAGAGTGGGACAATCTTTTCCCGGAAGGAAAAGCAGTTCAGTCTTGTCAAGGTTGAGCTTGAGGTGATGAGCAGACATCCACCGAGAGATGTCTGCTAGGCAAGCAGAGATGCGTGCAACGACCTGGGTCTCTGAGCGGGGAAAGGACAGAATTAGTTGGGTGTCGTCAGCGTAGCAGTGGTATGAAAAACCATGCGGGCTAATGACAGATCCGAGCGAGTTTGTGTACAAGGAGAAGAGGAGGGGACCAAGAACAGAGCCCTGAGGGACCCCTGTAGTTAATTGACAAGGGTCGGACTCGGACCCTCTCCAAGTTACCCTGTAGGTGCGGTCTTTGAGGTATGAGGTGAGGAGGGAAAGTGCAGAGCCTGAAACTCCAAGTTCTTGGAGAGTGCGAAGGAGGATCTGATGATTCACCGGGTCGAATGCAGCAGACAGGTCCAAAAGGATGATGACAGAGGAGAGGGATGCTGCTTTAGCAGTGTGCAGTTCTTCAGAGACAGCAAGGAGGGCAGTTTCTGTTGAGTGACCTGCCTTGAAACCAGACTGGTGCAGATCCAGAAGGTTGTTCTGATGAAGATAACAGGAGAGTTGTTTAAAGACAGCGCGTTCAAATGTTTTAGACAGGAACGGGAGGAGACAGACAGGCCAGTAGTTTATAACATCAGACGAGTTGAGAGTGGGTTTCTTTAGGAGAGGGTTTACTCTTGCCTCCTTGAGGCTGTTTGGAAAGTGACCAGAAGTTAGAGAAGTGTTGATGAAATGGGTGAGAAACGGTAGAATATCAGGAGCGATAGTCTGAAGGAGGTTTGAGGGGATAGGGTCCAGAGGAAAGGTGGTAGGACGGGCAGAGGTAATGAGGGTAAGAACGTCACTTGGAGAGAGAGGGGAGAAGGAGGTCAGTGTGTGGGTGAAAGGTGGGTCTGGTGACCCAGGGCCAGCGGTGAGTAAAGGTGAGTCAGAAAAAGAAGAGCGAATATCATCAACCTTTTTTTCAAAGTGGTTAACAAAGTCGCTTGACAGAAGGGAGGAGGGGGAAGGGGCTTTGGGGGGGTCCAAGGGGCTGGAGAAGATGGAAAATAGTTTTTGGGGATTGGAATAGGAAGACTTTATCTGATCTTGAAAGAAAGTGCTTTTTGCCTGAGAGATGGAAGCAGAGAAAGAGGAGAGGAGAGCCTGATAGGTTAGGAGGTCGTCATGGTGTCTGGATTTCCACCGTTTCCGCTCTGCTGCCCGAAGGATGGTTCTATTAGCACGCAGTGCGTCATTTAGCCAGGGAGCAGGAGGGGACTGACGAGCCTGCCGAGATGTGAGAGGACAGAGAGAGTCCAGAGAGGATGAGAGAGTAGAGAGGAGAGTTTCTGCAGCAGAGTTTGGAGGCAGGAGTTGGAACGAGTCAGAGGAAGGGAGGGCTGAGAGCACCGATGAGGCAAAGGTAGAGGGGGAGAGGGAACGGAGGTTACGGCGGACAGGTGCAGAATTAGAAGAGATTAGTTTTTTATGTTTGGAAAGGGGTAGAGAGAATGAAATGAAGAAGTGATCGGATGTGTGGAGCGGGTTTACAGAGAGGTTAGAAGTAGAGCAGTTCCTTGAGAATATGAGATCAAGGACATTGCCAGCTTTATGAGTTGGAGGGGATGGAGACAGTGAGAAAGCGAAGGCGGTTAAAAGAGACCCACACAAAAAATTGATTAACCTACTAACAAGCATGTATGTGTACCAAAAGCCTGACATATCTTCATCCAGTGTGACATTCAAAAAAGATTCAACACAAACGAGTCTCACTGTTTTCAATGTTCCTTTATTATCACAAACACACACTGAGGTTTCATTTTAATCAGTCCCAGATACACTGTCCTGCAGCAACAAACACTCGCTACAGCATCAAATGTGTATTCATGCGCCACTGAAACTAGTCCCCAACAAATAGACTATTTCCTCCTGTTTGAGGGACGTTTGCTAAAAGCTACTCTCACAAGCATATGTAGGAAATTAATTACATAGGCTTTAAACAAATTAAACTCTAGATCAGTGAGGTGTTCTAAAGCTTTATGTCTGAGACTCAACATGTATACAAGACTCTGAATGAAATGAGAGACCTGAACCTGACCCAGAAACTCAGCTGATGGGCACGGCCCGAGTCACAATGGGAAACAGAGACACATTCAAAAAGGACAGTTTATTTCAGATTTGAATCTTAAAACAGACAATCAGAAGACAAAATGTAATGTATACTCGTATTCTAACCGATATTACCTCACTAGCACTCACTTCTTCCCCAGAGAATTTGGAAATGATTTCCAGGTGGTCTAACTCATTTTTGGATGGTGCTACTCATTGAAAATAAGAAAAGAATAGTATAAAACCATCCTTCCCCTTAACTCTCACAGTTGAGTTATAGAGCATTATGAGTAACTGCCTCTGTTTTTTTTTGTCCAATCAGGGTCACTCCAGCTTCATAACTCACCTGGATTGGTCCAAAGATGGAAAGTACATTATGTCTAATTCAGGCGACTACGAGATCCTTTACTGTAAGTGAACAGGTTTACATTTCTAAATCCTGAGACGGCGTGCTGATAGTGTTCTGACTGTAATATCATGTGTTGTGACAGGGGACATCGCAGCCGGCTGTAAACTGTTGAGGAATCGCTTCGAGAGCAAAGACAGAGAATGGGCCTCCTACACCTGTGTGCTGGGCTTCCATGTGATGGGTGAGATACTCCTCTGCTTATTGTGCTGTAACTGTTTGAAGTTTACAGTAGATGTGTTGACGGTGTTGGAGTTGCAGGTGTGTGGCTGGAGGGCTCTGACGGCACGGACATCAACGCTCTGTGCCGCTCTCACAGTGAGAGGATGGTGGCTGTGGCCGACGACTTCTGTAAGGTCCACCTCTTCCAGTACCCCTGCCCCAAACCCAAGGTACTATCACACAGCCGCTCTGTCTGCTTGTAGAGAACAAATAAATACATTGTATTATAGGGCTGGGCACAGGGTTGGGAGGGTTACTTTAAAAATCTAATCCTTTACAATTATTAGTTACCTGTAAAACATTTAATCAGTAACCTTATCTGAGCATCACAATATAAAAGTTGTCCAACCTGATTACTTGAAGTTACTTTCAGATTCCAATAATGTCAAATGCAAAAAAATACATTAGAAAATAAATAACAATAAGACGTTTTATACTAAAGTGTGTTATGTAAGACAACAGAACAATGTGACCTTAGTAAAGAAGAAAACAAGATATTTAGGATAAAAGGCGTGTCCTCTTAAACTACAGAATATTCATTTATAAAGGTTTTAGTTTAATAGAATAATTAAAAGCAAACACAGGATTTAAAAAAGAAATGATACTTAAATTAAAGTAGCCTAAATTAAAACCAAAAAGAAAATTCCGGTTGTACGTCTCCCTATAATATACTGATCTTTTATTTATTTCAAATGTATTGTAACACTGTAATCCTGCTTGTTACCCCCATTAGTTATTTTTGTATATAACTGTAAGGGAATACAGTTACCTTCTGTTGTATCCTTCCTGATTACGTAATCCATTACTCCACAAGCTCGGCTGCCAATACATCAATTTTATATATCAATATCGTGAAACAAATCTAGATATCATCTTACTGTAAATCTCTGTCTTTTCGTGATTTTAAAGGCTGCATTACAAAAAGTGATGTCATTTTCTGAATTTACCAGACTAACAGCTTATTTTTATTTGTCTATATCCACAATAAATTCACATTACTGATGATTTTGTATCAAAAATGTTCATACCGTGAATATGTTGTAAATTGCTATATTTTTTCTGAAGTTTTACGAATACCACAACAACACACATACCAAAAACAATCATTCTCACTAATGCAAATAGTCACAAATAAAATTATTTTAAAATGTCAGCAAGCTGAGGGTAAAGAATGTTTATTTCATGGAGAAAACCACAGCCAGACTACAGCTGGAAACCTCTGTTATTTCTTTCCTCTCCAGGCACCGAGCCACAAGTACCGGGGCCACGGCAGCCACGTCACCAACGTGTGCTTCACCCACAGCGACTCCCACCTCCTCTCCATGGGCGGGAAGGACACCTGCATCCTCCAGTGGAGGGTGACTGGGGGCGGGGGGGTCGAGAGCAGGGAGAGACTGGCCTCGGTCTCGTCCACCTCCCCCTACACCAGTTCTCCGGAGCCCGGCACCAGCTAGGACGGCTATGGGCTGTTAACAGTGACGGAGGGGGGGCTGTTTACACAGCCAGAGAGGCGTGAGAGTGAGCGGACAGCAGCCACACTCAGGGGCCTCCGAGGGGCCACAGCTGCCTCAGTTTCATACAGAACATGTAGAGCAGGGGTCTCCAAACTTCTTTCACTGAAGGCAACACGCAGAAAAATATACCAAGAGCTGAGAGGTGAAACCAATCAAATGTAGGTCAATTATTCTTATTAATTGAACTTGCTTAGAGAAAAAAAACAGCCTATGTCACAGCTTTCCATTAATTATTACCATTTTGTTCCAAAAAGGTTTGGCAGGTCTGAAGCCTCACATTGATCTCCCTGCACAGCCCTGTATTGAAGGGGGGACAATAAGGGAAAATATGAAGGGTATATTTCAAGCTTGTTATTCAAATAACTTATTGGGGCTGCTTTTCTATCAACTAAGATTTGTTAGAACAATTTATCAACTTTAAATGACTGAATGTATTGAGAAATTGGGCTAATTAACACATAAATAGTGTGTTATATTTGTTTACATATATTTAAGAGGTATCAGGTAGGGGCCATATTCCATTAGAATGAGCTGAGGGCCAATTAGAAATGGACCCAGGGCCACAGTTGGGCAGTTTGGACCCCCCTGATGTAGAGGAATCCTCTCCAGGAGGAATGTTCACATCACATTTACACTCACTCCATAATCATGTAAATCCTTGTGAAACTGGACGGTGTGACTCCTCCCTGAACACAGAGTCTGTGGGGAGGATCATCACGTGTGTTACAGAACACGACTTCTACGGTGACAAACACTTTGGTTTCAGTGAACATTCCTGCATTTTAGTCCATCTCATTTATCAAACTTACCAAAGTGCTGCATCGTTTCCTACACAATCGTGCCTTAAAGATGTTTGCATAGTGATTTTGGATATTTTGTAATATTTCAAGCAGTGTTTGGTTGACATCTCAGCTTAGCTAATATTGAAGACGCTTGCATAAACAGACTGTGACAAACACCATACCAATCCTGACTAATTCATATCTCTAACAGTAGATCAGTACACTTGACAAATGATTACTTAAGTACAGTTTTATATATTTAAGAGAACATTGGGAATACTGTGATGTTGTACCTGCCAAGCTCCCAATAAATAACTGAAGACTGGAGAGTGTATTGTCTGTGAGGAATCACTAGGGGGCAGTGCTGCTCCAGGAATCATGTGCTGTGTGCATGTTCACAGAACCTGGCTGAAATCCACATGTACCTGTACAGCAGGATCAGTTCAGATTCTACAAACCTTGTTGATAAAATACATTTTATAGAAGAAGAAAACAGGCAAACAAGACATTGGTCTCAAATCTCATGGTCAGAAGTACACAACATGTTATATTGGAGATAAATACCATGTCGTAAAGTAAAAAAATCATGAATGAATGGTTTTATAAAAAATGACATTTCACCCCAAAAGACGATTCAAGTCAAATGAATAGTATTGATACCGTCCAATTTAAAGTAAAAGAAGGGCCACTTTTGTTGTTGTTGCAGTATTAGGCTTTAAAAGAATGGCCTCTAAACATAAAACCTAACAATCTGAGTGAGAAGCAACAATATCTCTTACAGCTCATACATATCAAAACTGCTCAACATACAGCTCAATCATTGTGAAGTTGGTGATAAAATATTATAACTGTAATCCTCTAACATAACTCTTATGGTAATTAAGATTCTAACAATTCCCTTGATGCTATTTTTCTAAATAAGTTCCCAACTTAACTCTTTTTACTTTTGTGCTTTTGTAATATATTTAAATAGCCCTTAGGATTCCAATGACACTTAAACATTAACAAAAACTTTACACCTTAACTCATGTGTGTTTATATTTCATATTATATAAAGAGCTTGTTTATCAAACCAGGGCCATTGAAAAAGTTAATTTTGATTCCGGAGAATGACGACAATCTCCGAAGATGACGATTTGAGCACGAGCGAAGGGGGCCAGTGAGTGTGTTTCTGTGTGTGTGCTAAACTGAGCGGAGGTGAAGAAGAGGAGGATGAAGCTGGGAGCGGAGGATGGGAGGAAGAGTGGAGTAAGAGACAGGCTAGCTGTATGTGAATGAGTGAGTGAGGAAGAGGAGAGGAAGGTCGTCGGAGGGACCAAAAACAAAGACTTGGATATTTTGGGGATAACCTCCGGAACGTTACTAACGGAAACTTTCAACTTTTTACCCGCCACATCTCGGCTTGTTGTGTCCGGAGCCGGCTTTGTTTCACGGCGGGGGAGTCTACGATAAATGAAGGAATAAAATAGATCCCCATCGACCTTTTTCTACCGGAGCGGGGAATACCCTGGGACTGCTTTTGATAAAGGTTACGATAGAATGGCGGCCAACATGTACCGAGTGGGAGGTAAGGAATGTTTTACATTTTGAAGACACCCCCCACAACGTGATTGTTCGTTTCGACAGTAAGGTGGCTAGCTAGTCGCTAGCTGTCTGTACGGTTAGCGGCTAACTAATGCTAGCTTTTCCTAGCATCTGTACGTGCGTCCACTTTAGCATGGAAGAACGTCAGATCTATTAAAACCACCAACAATGTAATGTGACTTAGCTAATGAGCAAATGTCCATAACTGCTACACTATGACTTAGTTTCTACTCAGTTGTAATAAGACAGACACACTCAGACAACTTGGATACAATTCACCAAGCAGTGTTCATTTTTTAAACATTTTAACTTTAAAAAAAGCTTGATATCCAGACTAGTTTTTAACCAAAATACGTTAACTCAGGGCGGGCTGCTGCCAAGTAGCATGAACCGGTTGTAAAAGTTGATACACCATTTAAAATAAATGCATCCTAGTGAAACAATACTTGGTAGAATTGTATTTATAGTTGCAAGTAAGAGAATGCACTCTTATGTGTCCATGTTTGGACGTTGGAATCTGTACATATGGTAACCTATTGGAAGTTAACAAAATGCTAGTTAGCATGAACTGCTAACTTAGCCGATGGGAGGTCAGCCCCATCCAAAAAATGCTGGGGACGACTGTTGTAACGTCAGCTAGCTTTTTCGTTGTGGTGGGTTAATTACATTATTGCCTCCACCATATCACTTCACATTCAACGGATAGAATCAGCTGGGCTAGCTAACTTTGATTGCTAAGTTTTGTTAGCTTAGCCCATAGCTTAGTATTTGTTAGCCGGTGTGGCTTATTTTTTAAATATTAGCAGATGGCGTGAAGTTGTTGGGTTATTAAGAGAAACATCGATCCCTTATACCGTTTATCGGTAGTAACTACGAAACACCGGCTTGTGAAACACGCAGCGTTAACAAAGTTGGCTAACACTAACTTGCTACCACTTTTTGTGTAGGTGAGACTTCCCGTTTCATTATTTACCGCTACTCTGCCCCTGGAAAACGTAGCATCTCCATACAATATAAAGGAGAATATATTATAATGTCAGGTGTGTTTATGCTACTGTTAACTGTTGCAGGTTTACTTTACTCGTTTGCTAACCCCGGGTTTCCAAACGTCACCATCATTATAGAGAGAAACGCCGGTAGACACGGCTTGCTTCTAGCTACATTGCTGCTAGCTAAACTGTCTCTCCCCCCGTTTCAGTGATCCCACGATATGGACAAGAGTGTCTGTACTCTACTGTGGATGTTGATTTGGCGAATCATCCTTTCAGTCTTTGCGATTATTGTCTACATTATTTAATAACGATGTTAGGACTTGGTGTTCTGTCTTTCAGTTTAATTTAGTGGCGGTCGCGGTGGTTGAATTGACAGAGACAGTGCGACACTAACAGTCTTATTGCTGTGTAAGGTCTTGTCACTGTGGTCTATTTAGGTCATGCTGACTACTCTGCAACATGTGCTGGCTGCACTATATTATAGGCTTAATGTTCACAGCCGGTTATTGTCGATTGTCATAAAATAATGTAAATAATAATAATAATAAAGTTTCAGTTTTCACGCAGGAAAAAGCACATAATGTATCGATAGTGACAGACTGGTAAAATTATCTGATATATGTATTTTTATGAATCGCCAGGTGTGGATTTTCAGACAATGGCTCGGTTTTTAATTTTGACTTCCTTCAAGGTTTTATGTAGGTATGACATAAACAAAAAAAAACATTGGTAGTTTTCAGTCTTTCTGAAGCATAACTGTATATGTGTGTACATTGACATCTTGTATGCATTGTTCCCTACCCCACCTTATGATCATCTCTGGTATGCTTCCTGATATCATTGTCCAGTGAACAAGTTCAATTACTGGGGAGAATGAAACCTGTAAAGATGGACAGATACAAATGCTTGCTGCCTAGAGTTGTTATTACAACCTTATATTATGTGTTGTTGTTTACAGTCAACAGGCATTCTGAGGAAACTTGGCATTATATAACAATAATACATTACATTCATATAGTGCTTTTTGTTTTATATGCATTGTTATCCATTGGGGAGAGCTGAACTGCTCAATCTCTTAAATAAAATTGTTATTTTTGCCAGCTTGCTCGATCATGGAATGTCCACAGCAGGAGTGTGGTGTGGCAAATGAAATGTTACAGTGTAATGCTAAGTCTAGCCCATAACACATTCAGTGATGCAAATTAGTCGCTTTTCGGCGCCTCCCGCTTTTTTAACGCTGCTTTGGGTGACTTGTGTAATTCGTGGAGAACCGAAGAGTTTTCGTTTTTTGGGGGGGAGGGGGGTCCGTCCGTCAGTCCGTCCGTTAGTCCATCCGACTGACGGACAACTTCTCACTTCAAAAAAGAAGAAGAAATCTAGATCGCAAAATAATTAAACAAGCGAGTGCCTGTTTTTCCTGGCCAAGGACAGGTTCCTTGAACACAACACGAGCGTAACGTGTCTTCACCTGGTTATGTCTCGTCTGAAAGGAGTGTAGACTAGACTAGAGTGCTTACGGAGAGCACCGGAACGACGCTCCAGCTCTTCAAATATTGCAGTACCCATAAGGAGCCG